ACACACACACACACACACACACACACACACACACACACACACACACACACACACACACACACACACACACACACACACACACACACACACCGAGTTCTCCTTAGCCCGCTGAAGCTCACCCAGGATTGCAAGTACAGGCCCTTCAGGGTCAGTCCGGTTGGCCCAACGGTCTACCAAAAACTGCGCCAACAATTTTCGAGGGTCCACCAGGCACTGGAAAATCGCCTGGGGACCTAAAAAAAAAATTCGAATTTTGAATTTTCTAGAAATGAGGCCCAACCGGACCCCCCCAACCGGACATAGGATCCGGTCATCCAGACTGGACCGTCTGGATCCGATCCGGACGTTCGGTTAACAACCATGAAATAATGTAGTAGCCAAAATATCTTTTTCCCTGAGGCCTTTTGAGTTTTTGTTTGAAAATCTGAGAATTCAGAAATCGGGGTTCTCTCAAAATTTCAAATTTGAAACTAGTTCAAATTACTAATTTCACCCGACTTTCTTCAAGTTTCTTGTGTTCTTGTCCCCCCTGTTGGAAAATCGGAATTTCCTCAAATTAATAATTATCTGGGCTTGTCCAATCTGAATAATCATACCAGAATACAGCAAAGGATGGAGAGAACAGCAGGGGGATGCGCATTCACACTATGGTCCAACAAAGATAGCCAAAGCAAAAAAGGGATTGCGATCTCATACCAAGAACATCCAAGATTCTGACTGAAGGCCAGATCTTGAACAGCGAGGGTGACAGTGAGGAAGGTAGGTGGTTATTGTTAGACATAAGATGGCAAGAAGAGGACCTGAGAATTCTCAACCTATATGCACCTAACGTTGAACCCGAAAGACTGACCTTCTTTGAGAACATCAAAACCCTCATCCCCAACCCGCAACCGGTAATCATTGCAGGAGACTGGAACACAACTGTGGACCCCAACCTGGACGGGATCTCAGGGATAGTACTAATGGGTTCCACGAGAGCGGGAGCCCGGATACGAAATCTGATGACAGAATTCGAACTCATCGATCCACTCAGGGCACTGCATCCAGAAAACAAAGTATTCGCCCGGATAAATAAGAACCAAGCTAATCAGACATCAGAGCCTGCAAGGCGCAGTCAAAGAAGCTGAAGACCGTCCATCTGCAGCTTTCGAAGGACTGGACCATAAACTTATTCAATTGCTGCTCAACTTCAATCTACCCTCACAACACCCCCCCAAGAGACACACCCTTCCTCTACACACTGCTTGTTTTGGCCCCCTCCTCTCCAACCCCCAATTCACCATCATCACCGCCATCATCATCATCATCATCATCATTATCGTCAGATGATGGTGATGGAGATGATGACAATGATGAAGATGAAGACAGTGTGAGGCCGTCATCCTCTAGGATGATCTCCTCTTTTTTTTGTTGATGCTGCTGCGTTTTTTCTTTTAGGTTGCGGCAGGCTGGCAGCTGCCTGCTGCTTCTGCCTCCCTTTGCAGCTTTCACTGCTGTTTATCTCTCCGCCAGCTTTCTCAGTATGTACCAGTCAACCCCAAGACGGGATTGTACTCGCGATTTGTGAATCTGACATCTGCCGATTCTACGTAGTTCTTGTTCCACAACTTTTTGTAATTGCTAATTACTAGTTCCTGTCTGTCCTATGCAGCAGATTGTGTGTGATCTCCTCGACTTGGAGATGTATCCTCGTAAACCGCAGTATGTCATGGCCTCAGAGGCCCCATTGCTGCTTCATCATTGCGCATTCTCCGACGTCAACTTCGGTTGCTCAAAAGGTAGGATGAATGACAAGTGCTACTGGATATTTATTATTTATTCTTTATTTAAATAATTAAACTATTTATTTAGTTTATGCTAACTGTATAGTAAGTTAGAAAATTTAAATCGTTACGTGTCATTTATTTACTGGTGCAGGTTGTGGTGCTAGCATCATTTCTTTAAAAGAGTTCTGACTCTTCTGAGATGAAGTTTTGGAAACGCAGACTCTATGCATTTCTTTGAGAGAGTTCTCAGATGAGCACATCCCTGTTCCCCCTTCCCCCTTCCCCCTTCCCCTTCCCCCTTCCCCCTTCCCCCTTCTTTCCCTTTCTTCCCCCTTCCCACTTTCCCTCCCCCTTGAAGTGTGTCAAGCAGAGAATGCGCAGCGGACCTTTTATCAAGTGATTATCGTGTGTGCTTTAGAGCCAGCGGACCTTTTATCAAGTGATTATCATGTGTGCTTTAGAGCCATCTGCAGCTGTGCAGTGGCAGCTCCTACCAGCCAAGCTGGGCGTTTTCCATACTTTTCTGCTTGCACCATGATCAGCTCCTTTGGCAGGCTGTAAGGGCCTCCCCATAGTTTCCTGATCTCGGCTCCTTCGGCAGGCTGTAAGGATTTCAAACATTCTCGGCAGGCTGGCAGACGGTAGGCGTCAGCTCTTCTGAAGCCATCGTGACCTCAGTTTGTTTAAGGGGATATAAAGCTGAGCGAATTTCACCTTCAGCCCTGGTACCAGTCCCAGTTGGGCCAGTTCCCAGTTGCATTATCGGTTTCAACTTTCAACCTCATGTCTACAACACTCGTGAATCCCTGGGTAAGCTAGGTTTAAGCAGGTCGTGGTAGGAAGTTCCTGGTACGAAACAGTTATGGTCAGAAAGAGTCAGTGGAAGTCATTAGCCCAGCTGTCAGTTAGTCGAGTCGGCAGCAAAGTCCCAGGAAAGTCGGAGAACTTCCAGAAGTGACAAACATAGGCAGGGCATCGTACCCATAACCAGTAGCTGCAGTCTGGATGGAGAATTGGTCAAGGACAAAAGTCCAGCTGGGGAAGCAGTCGACGCATATTCACTTGTGCATTTTTCATGCGGAAGCGCTGCTGAGCTATGTTGGGTTTTTGCAAAGTGCGCTGGTGGGAGACATCAGGACTTGTGCTGCAGCTTGGACTCTGGGTAGTAGTAGTAGTCTATGGCGCTTGCCAGGTCCAGTGTGAGGATGAGAGGGAGAGTAGCCATAGCCAGGTTCGGTGTGAGGATGTGAGGGAGAGTAGCCATAGCCAGGTCCACTGTGAGGATGTGAGGGAGAGTAGCCATAGCCAGGTCCAGTGTGAGGATGTGAGGGAGAAAGGTTCGAGAGGTATTCAGAGAGAGACCTTGGTGAGGGCCAGAGATGTGAGGCTGAGAGAGAGAGCAAGCATACCTGAGAGAGCTTGCTGGCGGCCATAGCAGCACCTTCTTGTATAAAGACAATTCGGTGTAATTGAGCTCATTGGCCGATACTATCTTCAAGTTTCATCTCACCAGTGCTTTGTTGCATGTGCGTCATCTGGTCTGGGAATGGAGTGGATAAGTAAGCCAGGAAAGATTGAAACCCCATAGAGCGTGCTGGATGGTTGGTCTCCAAGCGCAATTCTCCTCTGATGAACAAAGTTTTGATAAACCGAATTTTTTGATGAACTCACCTTTTTTGATGTATCAACGTTTCTCATGAAAGAACTTTCTTTGCTCTGGGAGGTGACCCCGTTCCTTACCATGGTTCTACAACGGTGTCAATGACGAGTCTGTTTTCTTGTTAAAAAAAAAAAAAAAGAAAAAGGAAGAAGAAGAAGAAGAAGAAGAAGAAGAAGAAGAAAGGAATAGCTGGTCATAAGTTCATAACCCTCAGCTTCAGGTCCTTTCCTGTTCAGCTACCGGTAGTTGATATCTCTATCACGTGTAATGCTGAGCATTGCTGACCAAAAAAATAGGTTTCGTCTTTTCAACTTTTTTGAAGTTTTTTCAGAAGCTTGTCAGTTTTGCTAAACTGGATGATCTGTACTCACTGGTTTAGTGCAGATAATTCCCTGCAAGTGGCAGGTTAGCCGCTGACTATTCCTCACTCGTTTACACCTGCTTGTCGTGTTTGTGTTATATTATGCTCAATTCATAAAATTCAATCAATTTCCTTGCTTATACATCCTTAGATTCATTACTGAGCGATCTCACATGCACACACACACACACACACACACACACACACACACACACACACACACACACACACACACACACACACACACACACACACACACACACA